ACTGAAGGGTTTTCTGGTACAAAATATGCTACTACAAATCTCTATTTTCCTAATATTTGCAAAATCATATTAGCATTGAATGAATGGATATGCATTCCAATAGAATAATTTCATGTATGGCTGTGAGCATGTTAGGCAAATTTGAAAAATATTGGAATGATGTGCATGGTATAATGGGTGTTGCCACAATTTTAGATTCAAGGTACAAAACAGAGTTGTTGGAGTATTACTTTGAAAAGATTTATGGAGAAAATGATGAATTTAAAATTGAAAGGATTGTGCAAGTATGTCGGGATTTGCTTAAGGAGTATGAGGAGAAATTGGCTTTGAAAAAGGAAGACAGACCTTTTATTTCAAACTTTTCATCTTTAGATTGTGTTGGTGCTACTGAATTGGGAAATCTGATGATTTTGTTTCAAGGAAAAATAAGAAGAAATCAAAAGTAAAATTAGAGTTAGATCGTTATTTGGATGAAGAAGTCATACCAAGAAAAGGGAATTTTGATATATTGAATTGGTGGAAACTAACTGGACCTCAATTTTTTATCTTACAACTTATTGTTAGAGATATTTATGCCATACCAATTTCTACTGTTACTTCAGAGTTTACTTTTAGTACTGGAGAGAGGTTGGTGAGTGCACAACGTAATAGACTTCATTCATCAATTATAGAAGCTTTAACATGTTGTCAAAATTGGTTATGGGCTGAAAAAGAAGGTACAATAATGCATATTATGCAATTTTATTTTTTATTTTAACATATTGTTAGTTATTATATTTTGTTGTTATATATTATTTGTTAATATTTTATTATTTCATTTATAGGGTCAATTTCATTAGAAGAAAAGTCTTTCTATGAAGATATTGATGAGAGTGAGATTGAGGAAAAAATAACTAGTTTGGTAAATAATATTATCCTTTTTTACTAATTCATTTTTTATGTTATTGTTTTTAAATATATTATTTTATGAGATTTATTTATTCATTTTATTGTTTTATTTTATAGGACTAGTGTGGTTAGAGGAGAATGATGATATGGAGCTTAGTGATGATGAAATGATTTATTGTGATCTGAAAAAAAAGTACATGACACTTCTATTGCTATTGGTCATGCCGATGAACTAGGTGAATATTGTATAGTGTATCACATCCAGCTTTACTGCTTTAGCCTTTTTCTCATTATTTATTGGTAATCTAAAAATTGATCATGCATTTCTGTTATTTAGTGGACAATAAATGGTGTGCATTCTCCTTTTGATAATGTTTAAAATGAGCTTCATTTATTTTCATAATTTTTAAGAATAATACAACTTTTTTAATAATAATATTCTCAAAATTGTTAGTTTATTGCAGAGAAGGTGTTCTTTAGAAGATTGGATAGAAAAACTTTTATTACATATTAATATTTCTAGAAGTGCCTTAGTGACAACATTTTTTGAGTTGAAAGCTGTTGTGATTGAACTGGAAGCTGTTGTGTTTGAATTGGAAGCTGTTGTGTTTGAACTGAAAGCTGTTGTGTTTGAATTGGAAGCTGTTGTATTTGAACTATAAGCTATTGTATTTGAACTGAAAGTTGTTGTGAGGTCTTGTAGGTTTTTACTTGATGCCTTTTGTAATTGAATGAATATATACTTGTATCTTTAACTGCTGTTATAGTTAGAATTTGACTATAAATTCATATTAAATTGTGCTTCATGGTCTAAATGTGTTTGTCTATTGCAGCATTTGAAAATTTAAATTTAACTATTTTTATGGGTAGAATTTGACTTAAATCCACATTAAATTATGCTCCATGTTCTAAATGTGTTTGTCTGTTACAAATGATGTTTTCATTTGAAAATTTAAATTAGTAATAAACTGAATTCGAGTCGGGTCAGATTTTATTCGGGTAAATAATATTTGTAATTGGTCGGGGTTGGGTTTTTCACTAAAACCTCCGAATGGGGACGGGTTGGGTATCAGGCAAAAGCACTAAGGCTTCGGGTCGAGGTGGGGAAAGCAAAAATCTTACCCGCCCCGCCCCGATGCCAACCCTACACTGAACAAAAGTATTGCTAATTGGCCACCCATATATCTGGAATCTGCAACACTGTACACAAACATGGAACCGTCAAATTGACCATTCACTCAAAGTTTTACCCTTTATTTTTAGATGGGTAAATCTTGGATTGCATAAACTATATATCTCCTTAACTCAACCATTGGGTGAGAGGAGAGACTAAAAGTGGCTTAGAACTGTTAGAAGTAGAGATATATACAGCCAGCCAACTGGACTAATATTTTTGGCTTCTTAGTTTTTGTTCACTTGCTTCTTGTGTCTAGGTAAATGTGTCATTTATAGATTTATTACAAGATGTCTTGGGTAACAATTCCCATACAAAATCCAAAACTTTTCAATCAGAATAAAAAAAACCCAAACAAAATTTATTTGTTTAAAGTTATCCATATGGCTAGGTTTTCTCTATAGTTTTTGCAGGAAGGACCCATTTGCATTAATGCCATTAAAAATGTAATTTTTTGAAGCAATAAGCAAGGTCAAGAGTTAGTAATTGTTAATTTGGATCATTGCATTGAAACAAACAAGCAGATAAAAGGTAAACTGAATAGGACCTGGGGAAAAAAAAAACAATGACATTGCAGCCAGGGTTCTCAATCAATGCTATACATGACGTCTTTCTTCTAACTGCTCTCTTAGCTTGAAGTGATCCATCATGGAATCTGGAGTACGCATTGACATGGTTGTAGGTTTTCTTTGTGGTTTTTGTTCTTGCAAAAGATTAGAGATTTGTTGGACTTTCCTTATTTTATGGGTTACTTTTGGTAGGAAACTTTTAATCCAACTGCAAACTGATATTAACATCTGACAATTTTTTCTTCTTTTTCTTTTTCTCACTCATTTTCAAGCCAATTTCTTTCCCAGATTCTGCTCAAAGCTTCTAGAGAATTAAGCATAAAACAACTTATTTTCATTAGTTGCACATTCTTTTATATAATAAATGTTGAGAATAGTGACTCGAATCTCATAACAGATTTATTTGAGATTGATTAGATATTACTTTATAGATAAAAAGACTTTTAGACGAAAAATTTTTAAAAAAAATAAATTTTTAATAGACAAGTTTAATTTACAAGCAAAGAATTTTGAAAGAAAAATGCTTTTTAATAATCAAGTTTGTATGTTTATGAATAGGTAAAGTCTTTATAAGGTTAGGTATGAGAAAAAAATGTAAGAGAATTATAAGGTTTTATGAGATAGACACCCAATAAGACTACTGGAGATTTAGTCTTAAAGGTGTATATGTTTGTTTGTTTGAGAGTGACTAGAGAAAACTGACAGGATACACATAGGTATGCGTATGTTTAGATTGAGAATACTCCATAAGATTAAAGGAGATTGAGAGAATTTATGAGTATTAATTATAAGTGCTTGATTCAAATATATATTTATAATTCTCTATAACTAATAGATCTTTTTTTTCATCTATGGATGTAGGTCAGTTGAATCGAATCACGTTAAATTGTTATCTCTTATATGATTAATTGATTATTTGATTTCACTTCTGCTGATGTGATGGGATTATGGCTATTTGGCCTAATAAGTGGTATTAGAGTTGTAGTGATCCTTACAGAAAAAAAATTTTAAAAGAAAATTGATTTTTAATAATTAAGTTTGTATGTTGATGAATATATGAAGTCTTTATAGGGTTAGGTATGAAAAAAAGATGTAAAAAAATTGTAAGGTTTTATGTGATAGACACCCAATAAGACTACTGAAGATTTACGTCTTATAGTTATATATGTTTGTATGTTTGAGAGTGGACTAGAGGAGACTGAGAGGGTCCACATAGGTATGATGCATAGGTGTACAAAGGTGTGTGTATATTTGGGTTGAGAATACTTTATAGGATTAAAAGAGATTGAGAGAATTTATGAGTATTAATTGTGAGTGTTTGATTCGAATTTATATTTGTAATTTTTTTATAACTAGTGGATCTTTTTTTTCATCCATAGATGTAGGTCGATTGGACCGAACCGCGTTAAATTGTTATCTCTTGTGTGATGGGATTGGGGCTATTTGACCTAACAAGTGATAGTAGAGTTGTGGTGATTCCAACAAGTGATATCAGAGTTATGGTGATCTTTAATAAGTGATATCAAAACTAAAAGTTCAAGACATAAGAAGAGCTGAAGGCTTGAGATGTGGAAAGAAGTAAACCCAGAGGAGCTCGATTCAAGGGAAGAGCTTGAGTTCATGTTTTAAGGATTAATGATCAATTTGCATTAAGTGTAAAAACATACAAAAGAAAATGATTGTGAGATTTTCATTATAGGTAGAGCCAAGCATGTTTAGTATGAAGACAGATGATTTGATGAAATTTGAGTCAAGATAAAGATTGTTAGGAATAGTGACTTAAATCTCATAACAGATTTGTTTAGGATTAGTTAGATATTATTTGATGTATAAAAAAACTTGTAAAAAAAATTTTAAAAGAAAATAGATTCTTAATAGGTAAGTTTGTATGCTTATAAATAAATAAAATATCTATAGGGTTAGGTATGAAAAAAAGATGTAAGAAAGTTGTAGAATTTTATGAGATAAACACCTATTGGAGATTTATATTTTATGGATGTGCATGTTTGTATATTTGTAAGTAGATTAGAAGAGATTGAGATGATTCACATAGGTATAATGCATGAATATCAAGGGTATATATATGTTTGGGTTAAAAATATTCTATAAGATTAAAGGAGATTGAGAGAATCTATGAATATTAATTGTGATTGCTTGATTTGAATATATTTTGTAATTTTTTACAATTAGTGAATTTTTTTTTTCATCCATAGACATAAGTCATATGAACTCAATCATGTTAAATTATTTCTCTTGTGTGATTGATCGATTATTTGATTTTGTTTCTATTGACTTTTGTTGAAGTATCATTGGATTAGGGCTCTTTAGCTTTACAATAAAAACTTAAAAAGAAAATGCGGGTATTTAAACTATAAAAGAGCAGATTCAATGATACTACAACACAGCATGAAAAACAAGGTGAATTGTTAAAAGCTAGTTCCTCGGCCTCCTCCAAGTTCCTCTTCGTTTTTGTCGCATCCTTCTAAGAAATTTCATTAACCACTCTTTGATATTCGGGGCATATATGTGCCCAATTGCTAGTCCATTCACCAGACCGCCTCCATATCCCATTAAAATGATTTTCCAATCAAATTCAAGCGAGGGTTCCCTGCTTCGATCTTCTTCCGAGGACAATGGTGGTGGTGAAACTTGAAAACTGGTACATGTCTTTGACAATGGTTTCCCGCACAATCCTGGATTGCTACCAAATGAGTTGCTTTCAAATGTAGCAAATTGGTTTCCTTGAGGTATCTGACCCGTGAGATTGTTTTGAGATACATTTAAAAACCCAAGAAATGTGAGCTGCAGTAGTTCCATTGGGATCTCTCCGGAGAGGTTGTTATGAGAAAGGTCCAACGATTCAAGATTTGATAAGTTCCCCAGGGATGGTGGGATGCGACAAGAGAGAACGTTGTTGGAAAGGTTGAGCAGCCGAAGTGCCTTTAGATTCCCAATGTTCTCAGGAATGCATCCTTCAAAACTGTTGCTTGAGAAATCAATGGCTACCAAGAATTCTTGAATCTTCTCATAGTCTGTCTCCGTGCCTTTGCTTGATATTGTCACGGAGTAAGTAAAATAGTTATCCCAGTTGTAGGTTTGTGTTTGCAAATCACTACTTGCTTGTAAATAACTCAAGTTACCAGCATCAACAACTTTCATGTTGATCCAGTTTTGGAATTGCTGAGGCATCAAGTTACCTGTAAATCTATTGAAGGATAAGTCAATGATTTGCAGCCTAGGAAATTCAACATTTTCTGTCTGTTCTTCCATTGTACCATGAAACTGATTGCGTCGTAATATGAGAATCCTCAACCCTGGAAGCTTGCCCAGCCAGAAGGGGAAGGTATCATTTAATTGATTATTTCCCATATTAAGAGTCTCCAACATGTCACAATTGGCTAATGATCTAGGTAACTGCCCTTGAAACTGATTTTGATTGAAGTCAATCATCCTTAATTGGCTTCCTTTCATGCATAATTGAGGAATAGAACCAAAAAAGCTGTTGTTTCGTAGATCCAATACCAAAAGTGATACACTCAGATTGGCCAAGCATTGTGGAAGCATGCCACTAATGTTATTGCTTGACAAATCAAGGAAAGCAAGAGATGAAAGGTTACACAGTAAGGGTGAGAATTCCCCTGTGAGGGAGTTGTTTGAGATAGAATAAGAGAAGATGGAAGGTGGTGGAATTGGGATGGATCCTTGCAAGTTGTTAGAATATAGGTTCAACATGCGTAAATTTGTCATGGAAGAAATAGGTTGGTCAAAACCTGTTAGAAAGTTGCTCGACAAACCCAAGTAGGAAAGACTTTCTTTGCTCATCTCCCATACCCATTTAGGTATTTGGCCATGGATTTTGTTTCCAGAAAGTTCCAAAATCTCCAACTTATCTTGTTCACGAAGAAAATCAGGGAACTCAGGTAAGTTGCAAAATGCCAGCCCCAAATTTCTGAACTTCGAAACAGTACGATTGATGGTGATGTTGGTCAGCAGTGACAAATAATTACCGGATAGTTGGAGTTCAATTAGATTTCCAAGATTTAGAAATGACTCGAATCTCAAAGTGCCATTCAATTGATTTGCATGAAGGTAAAGTGTTCTAAGATTTCCAAGGTTAAAAATGGATTGTGGGATTTCACCTTGTAATTTGTTTTGACCAAGATCCAGAATGGTTAGCTGGGTAAGATTTCCCAACCAAAATGGAATCGGACTCATTAGTTGATTGGCAGCAAGACTCAAATATGTAAGTTGTCCAAGGTTTTCAAGCCAAGATGGAAACTGTCCAGTTAATTGATTATATGCAAAGCTCAAAAGAGTAAGCTGGGTCAAATTTCCGAGAGAAGGTGGGATTTTACCATATAAATTAGCCCGTACAAGGCCCAGTACTGTTAATTTGGTTTGGTTGCCAAGCCAAGATAAAGTCCCAGGACTAAAATTATTAGAGGAGAGTGACAGATAAGTGAGTTGGGTGAGGTTGGCCAAAGAAGAAGGTATTGGTCCAGAAAAATGGTTGACATAGATGTCCATGTGTTTGAGTTTTGTAAGTTCACCAATCGAAGATGGTAGCTGCCCTGAAAAATTACATGTTCTAATATCAAGGTGCGACAAGAAATTAAGATTTCCAATTGATTCCGGTAGCTCACCTGAGAAACTTGTGTTGGCTAGCATCAGTACTTCGACAAGGCTACTTCTGTTAAATCCTGGGAACTTTCCAGTGAGATATGGGTTGTTCTGCAGATCAAGAACTTGAAGATTCGGCAATTGGAAAATTGTGGCTGGAAGTTCACCATGCAAACTGCAGTCCTCCAAAGAAAGAGATACCAGAGAAGATAAGTTTCCCAAGATTTGAGGTACCGTAGAAGATATGTTCACCCCACTAAGATGAAGTTCCTTCAGGTTGGTTAATTTCTCAACTAAATTTCTTGGCCCTGGACTTCGGAGCTCTAAATCGTTCCAGGAGAGATCAAGTACTACCAACTTTGAGATCTTTAAAACTTGTGATGGGATTTGACCTGAAAATGCAGATGAAGAGAGGTCCAAAAGTGATAGCCTTGAAAGGTTCGAAATTCCAGAAGGAATTTTGGAGGCATTGAAGTTGTTGTCGGAGAGATTGAGCCTTCTAAGGTGAAGGAGGTGGAAAAGACTGCTATTGGAGTCGATAGAACCATATAAAAAGCTGCTACTTAGATCAAGTCCTATCACATAGCCAGTGTTGTAATTACACTCAACGCCATCCCATGCGCAGCAGTCACCTTTTCCTTTTTCATCAGGTTTCCACTGTTGGACCTTTACGTAAGCAGAAGGCTTAGTGGAGGCAGACTCACGGATAAGGAAACTTTGCTTGAACTGCAACAAAGCCGAGCGCTCAGAATCGTGGCATGCAGTCCGAATGGAAGAAGCTGTACGAGTAAGAAGGCATAGAAAGAAAAAGAAAAGCAAACACCTGAACATGATTGAATACCGTATTGATCACCCAACAAAATTTGTGGTTTGGTTTTGTGATGCTCTCATTGATATATGCAGGATTCGGCTACGGTACATCAAGGGTCTCATTCATGTTGTTGATGGGTTTCCATTTTCCTATTAACTTAGAAAAAAGCTTACATTCACCTCCCTCAGATACAAAGTACACTGCAAATTAACGGATAAACAAAGAAAGACTGCAAAATATTGTAAATTGGAGGCACGGACATTGACATCCTCCCACTTGTTTTGCTCTCTTTTTATATATTTCGTCGAAAGAGTCAATGAAAGCAACTATGATTGGCAGATCATTACCAGTGAAGTTGTATCGGATTCTTCCAAAACATCCCTTTCAGATTAGAAGTATCGAAAAAGAAATTTGCTTATGAACCAATCTTTCTTTTTTCTTTTTGTTTTACTTGCACTTATTGACCCCTTCCACAGTAGGGGAAGGAAACAGTAAACATTGCAACTTAAATTTTCGTCTAGGAGCTTTCAATTGTAGTAATCTCAAAATAGATTGATGTATGTATGTATATATGTATGTATGTATGTATGTATGTATGTAGACAATATTACTTTCTTCTGTTAGACAATATGAAGGGAAAACAGCATAGAAAAACATAAAAGAAAAAAAAGAAAAAAAAAAGACAAATTAGAAGAAATTAGAATAACGGAAGTAATATAATTAAAAAAAATAAAATTAACCCAAATATATTTTTTAAACATTTTTTTATAGAATGCATCATCCAATAAAGAATGTTTTAATAAAATATTTAGTATTTTATAATGTCAAGATTTTAGTTATAGCGAAATTCAAGTTTATAATCTTAATTTTATACAATAAAATTAAATATTTAATTTTAATTTTTCAATAATAAAATTATAAGTGTTTATTTAAATATAATTTATGGTAATTGATTTTTCATTTTAAAAGCCCACTAGAAGTAAGTCATCCGCAAACTTTAGAAACCCATGAAAGCCCAAGTCAAAGTCCATCCCTTTCTTTTTTTTGGCATTTTTTTTCCATTTCATTTTTTTTTTAGCCCCTCCTTAAACTCTGTTGTTCCTAAACTCTGAAAGTCGGGAAACCCTAATTCACCTGCAGACCATTTCAATGCTCTTCTTCATATCAAAATTTCGTGATTCGATCCTATTTGGGAACTTCCTGTAAAAGTGGTATTGCAACTGCAAGTGGAATACATCCAGATTTCACTCATGTACATGTTCCCAAAGAATCAAAGGAACGACCTGGTTGAAAGCAATCGGCATCGATCTATTGATCGGGGATGTCATCAAGACCCCATCAAATGCTTTGCATACTCTCCATTGCAGGCATAACTGTTCTAGCAGAATGAAGGAATTCGAGCAAAAGAAATATATCAAGCTCACTAAAGCCTTCAGCCGCACTATTGGTTCCTTGAGTAGTGCTGCGAATTCAGCATCAACTCTGCATGTTTCATTTGCAGGCTTCAGGGTGAGATCGAATCCTAGCTTATTTATTGATGCTTCATTCTGATTACACCACTATCATACTCTGGGTTCTTAACCCTGAACAAAATAAATCCAGATTCGAAGAGAGGTAATATTTGAGGAAAAAATAACTTAAATATCTTCATTTTTATAAATGCTTGACTGTTGAGCACTGAATTGATATAGAAAAAAAAAAATTTGCCCAGCACAGTATAAAACACAGCCATCAACTAACAGCTTGGGAAGTGCAGAAATATTGTTGGGAAAAAAGCTGCTGAAAACAAATCAAGTTCCAAATTAAGTAAAGATCAAACTCTGGATAAGCTTTTCTAGGCAGTTTCCACTTAAATTTAAAAGTACGAAAGAAAGGACATTTTTTTTCTCTTTTGTTAAATTTTAGTCAAAAACACTAATTAAACTAGTTTCCCTAAGGATGTCGTTAGTCAACAGGGTACATCCCTGTCCCCATCCAATTCTCTCATTTCTCTGACTCCCTCCCCTCAGTCACTTCCCAAAGTACATTTTTCTCTTACTCCTTTCCCCTCCCTCTTTTCTCTAAGCTCACCCTACTGTCACAATCCCATCCTACGCCCTAAAATCCCCACCCTTAACTAAATCTTTCCCTACTGTGCACCAAAATCCCATAGGTGTATCATCGCGTTGCTGCTAGCTGCTGCTACGTGCCTATCATCGGCAACCATCGCGTTAACATCCCCTATGTTCTCGTTCAGATTATACAAGTGTTGGCCCTGCTCTATCTCCCACACCCTTGTCACACCCGCGGTGCACATTAGCGCGTACCCTAAGTTCATGCAAGCCATGACGTTCCTCTGCCGTGTGTTAAACCTACACACCTCCTCCAACGTGTCCAGCCGGCGCACGGTAGCCCACCCACGGCTGTCCACCATAATGAATGCCTCATTGTTGGTATCCAAGGAAGTAACTATAAGCCGTCTCCTACTCTCCTGGTCGTGCAATGGAAACTCCGGGTTTCTTAAGTCCAAAACCATATACCTCGTTCTCGTACATGCCACCGCTGATTCCCGACTCGTCACCCTGACTCGGCCTAAGGTTTCTGTCACCTCAGTAAACATGTGCCAACCCTCTAAGGCCTCTGGGTCAGTCAACGTTGTATTCACGTAGACTAGTTCTTCAGTGTTACCATCCCATATGTGGAAAGCACGGCCAGGTACACCGGCGTATAGGCCCACCCACCAGCGCCCACAGCCGGTGAAATCCACCAGTGCACCGTGCTCCACAACATTGCCAATGTGAGCCCTGCGCGCATGGGGCTGCCCATCTATAATCGCCACGTTGATGTCGCCATCCAAGGTGGCGAAAATGAGCCTCGGATCCGTGATGACAATGCCGGATACCGCGCGTGAGAAGCGGCCGAAAACGTCGCTGGGGTGGGGGTAGAAGGTGCCGACTTGAAGGCGCGTGGCGAGGTTGAAGAGGCGGACGGTACCATCAGCAAAGCCGCAAGCGAGGTGAGTGTCAGACAGGGTTAGGCAACGACATGTCAGCCCATCTGGGTTGTCCACGTTGGATAGATCGAAGTGGAGGGTCTCGTAAAATAATATCCCAGCACGAAAATTCTGAGCCGTTCTATGACGGTATATGTATTCCTCACGCCACGAGGCGTGCATGCGATGGGTCCGACCCCATATGGCACTTGTGAGACGGTGCCAAAGTGGATCAGAACGAGAGACAGCTCGCCACGTGGAACAAACCTGCATGCAAACAATTCCACGTTATAAAGTTCAGTAAGCAAAAGGAATTTTTAAGTACAAATTTTGAGCTCATGTAATCGAGTAGGGTTTATAAAAAGCATAAATAATGGAAACTAAGAAGCAAGAACATGCAAACAATTTGTTGAGCCAGTCAACAAGAATCGGGGTGAATTTGATTTACATGAATATTAGTATAATATAATTGGAATACAAGTCATTTAATGCTTTAGTAAAAGTTTGGATTGATCCAGCGAAAGACGATCGATGACTAAATGAAGAGAGAGCTGCAGCAGCATAAAGTATAGATTTCAATGCAGGCAGCAATGCTTTGACTTATGCTTTTTTTAATTTTAACAGTGGCATCAGCCACCCCATGCGCGTAAAGGGCTTTTAATAGCTAACAGGGCAGGCAGGCAGAGCCAGGGCTGTAGGAGAGCCTAGGCACTAGTAGAGCAGAGCAGAAGAATACGTCAGAGAGAGAAAGAGCCTGTTATTTTCGAGTTCAGATGTCAGAATCAGCCAGAGCTCTTAATAAAAAGAAGAATGGGTATCGTTTGGGTATCGTTTTGTTTTGTTTTGTTTTTTTCATTTTTCAAAATATCAGTGTTGAATCGAATTTGTCTTGTAGCATAGACTTGCAGTTGAACAAAAGACCTGATCACATATCTACTGTCAGGTAGAGTGTGACAGCTCTTTTTCTTTTCATTTCAAACCCCTTTCTTTTCTTAATCTTTTAATTCATTTTTTCGTGGTTTCATGGGGGACCCAACCAGCAAGAGAACAAAAATTAAAAGAAAGTTCGCTTTAGCTGCACAGGAAAAAGACAAAGAATCCTCGGTGTAAGGTGGTTGAAAACTTGAAATGTGAAGCAAAAAAGCGGAAAGGCTCTATGAAGACCATGAGAAAACGGGAAATTTTTTATAGGAAGATTTTCTTGAATAATTTTATGAACATTATAATGAGAGTTTGAGGGCACTGTAGTCCATAAAGAAAGCTTTTATCCAAAAAAAAAAAACAAAGAAAAAGCATCGTATACATCACAAATATATATATATAAAACATGGTATAGCAACTTTCAAGCATGCTGCCCTAACTAATGTCATTTACATATATAAATATATATATATAATATATATGTGCCTCTCTCTTTCATTTCCAAGAAAAGGTCGCCAAAGGCCTGTCCCATTAAAAGCAGAGAATCTAATAGCCTGCTTCCCCTTACAACCTTTTTTGCTTTTTTTTGACTCCTGCCCCATACACTTCCACTTCTCACATACCTGCTCCAGTCAGACACTTGCTTTTTGGGACCCAATCTATGGATATACATGCATCATGATTTATTATCATAAAAAGACTGGATTTTCTTTTTTTTTTAAACATTAATTATTTAATTAATACTATATCTGATTGCTTATTTATTAAATATAAATGATGTATGACTCAACAATTGAGAAGTCACCAAACTTGTCTTAAAATGCGATGACAAGGAGACATCAGTTTTAAAAAAAAAAACTAGCATTGATTTGGGCATTTGCACATGCTGACTTTTGACCGATATCCCCACTCTTTAATATAATCATCAACTAAGAAACTTAAAGCCTTAAATCTTGCTTAAAATTTTCATATAATATGAATTTAATTGTTTCATTATGTATTGCTTGTTAAGTAATTATGACCAAAAAAAAAGTCTAATTGCAAATTATTTATTCTTTTCTTGATCTCCTCATTTCTGGGTCACATCATTTGATTTGAAACAAGTACTAATAATAATTTTAAATTTAGAACACTTAAATAATTTGTGTGATCCTGTAATTAAGTCTTCTTTCTATGGTAAATGCTACAAATCTGATTTCACTTGACTTTCAAGTCTTCCATTAACATGCTTCGGCACACAAAATGACAGACATTATTAACTTTCAGCTCCTATAATCACCACTTTACTATCCCAGTGCACTGGAATAAAAGGACAGATCCTATATATATATGTAAGAAGGTTCCAGCCTATCCATTGCAACCAAATATAGAAATGCTAGACTTACATGAGCAAGATAAGAGGAGAGCATGGCCTTAAATGATGCTAAATTGAATACATAATTCCCAACACAGTTAAAAAATTAAAGTAGGGTTCAAAGGTCTCTTTCCACATATTGGCATTAGGAAAGAAAGAATCCCATGGATTTTCAGACAGATAACAAAGGACAGTCAAAAAAGTTTTGAAGAGATTTGTTGAGTTCAAAACAAGATCATGCCAAGAAAAGGAAAAAGGGAAATTCAAAAACCAAAAGAGCCCTTTTCCTCTACTCAATATATGTGAAAAGGTGTCCAAAAACAGACACTTTGAAAGTGGCAAAAAGGAAATAACCAACATTGCCAAGATGAAACTACAACAACCGAAAGGGACATAAATTTGTTAGAAATGGACCCATCCCAAGTCAGTTCCTTCCTTGGATGCTAGTACGTCCAAGAACTAGCGATATATCCGCATTTCATTGAATGTAATTTCTCAAACAGAAATCAATATCTAGGTACCAAAATCTTTACAAGTTGATAAAACTCAAATGACATGAAATAAACAAAATCCCAATCAAGAATCTTGCAGTCCAATCAATTCTATCTCCTTTAAATCAGCCAAAAAATGGAAAAAAAAAAAAAAGGGCATTGAAGATAATCAAAAACATACCTGAAACAGATTGGCAATAGCAGCAGCTGCAGCGAGGCGGCCAAGTGAACGAGAAGCATCAATGGCAACTTGGACAACAAGATCTTCAACAAAAGGCCCTGGCCAGATTTCGTTATTAACACGTCTACGAATCAAAGCTGGACCTTCAAAATCACCACCTCTTCTTGCAGCATTGCCATTGCCATCTTCAGAAGAAGAAGAAGATGACGATGATGAAGAAGAAGAAGAAGACATCAGTAACAAGTGGAGAAAGCTATAAAGGAAAAGAAAGAAACGGGCTACAAAGCAACAAGGACAAAAAGGTTTAGATAGAGACACGAATTGAGGGACCCAAAAGAGGGGGTTTGGGATTCTTGGATTTATATGGAGTATCTGACAATTCCACTTTATTTTAAGTTATGATCCGTACACATTTTTTATACACACATAAATATACTGAATACACAATCCATCAGTGTATATATACATAAATACATCTAATTGAGAAAGTTAATATTTGTAACAGATTTTTTACAGGATTTCCGCCCTGCAAAGACGGCGGGAAGTTAGCTTCAGGTTCACAAGAGAAACTGATGGATTTTTCGATTTGCCACAGTGTTTTCAGGTGCTTTTCTATGTGCTTCTCTCTTTTGTCCAACAATCTCTTTACCCCCCTGTTAATGCTATTTAGGCTAAAAAAACAAAAACCCTATGAAAAGCGAATATATATACATATATATGAAAGGCATGTTTGGGAGAGATCTGATTCAGTCCGGTTGTACAAAGAGCACCCACCTTGGATTTGTCAACAGACCTTAATAAGCCACTCTGGTTGAAAAAGCTAGTCACGGCCTCACAGCAATCTTGACATGCTGCTGCCTGCTGCTAGGGGCTGGCTCACTGGGGAACTGCAGTTTCACGTCACAATTTCACTTGTGAAAAATCTTCTGGTGGCCCTCGGCCTCTCGATCCCTTGCCCTGTCAAATTGCCAAGTGTTTTGTTCCTAACCAGTTCTAGGGTTGCTTCGGACTTGACGTCTATGGCCATAGGCTGTGTGGATAATGGAGTAATTTAATATAGGGGAAGGAGTCTGTAATCTGTTTTTCCCTGCTACAAATATTTTCTATGAATGATTCATTAATGATTCCAGTTCATGGGATAGGTACACCAAAACATTCCAGATCATATTTAAATGATTATTGATTCTAAATCACGGGAATTTTACAATCAAATATAAAAAGACAGAATCTGCGTGAGGGGAGTTGGCTAACGGTATGGCTCATACGCGCATTTTGTCGTGATTTGGTTTTAGGCAATTGGATAAAACTCAAATAGTGAAACTTCACGTAACTAAGAGCTCTAAAACCTTAGGTTTGTCGGAGGCTTGGAGATAATATTTAGGCAATTGGATAAAGGTTTATATTTGATACAGTACTTATATGTATATATATAGATCATATATCAGTATATCATAAATTTTTATCTTATTAATGAATAAAATAAACATTAAGGATCCTAAAAATTAAATATCACAAATTATTAAATAAAAAAGATATTTTAAAGAATTTTAAAAGGTTAAATTTGTTAATAAATGATATGATAAATTGTGATACATTAATAATATATAGCATCTATATATTAATATTGTATTAAATATAAACTCATTAAATAATAAATTAATAATTATTTTTATTTTCAATCATTTAAAATTTCATAAATTGAATTTAAAATTTAACTCAATTAATTTATATAATTATTTTTAAAAAAATAATATTAAACTGATAATTTAAATCTTAACATTTATAATTTTTTTATCTCCATACTACTAATTTTTTATATCATAAAAAGTATACATTTATAAACCATTTAAAATCATACATATAAAAAAAATGGTATTATTCTTGTAAAATTCATATATGAAATAGTGAAATTTTGACATTTGATGTTGGTTACCAACTTGATGTGGCAGGCAAGTAAAGCATTAGAGGAAGAAGAAGTGGAGTCAAAATGTAGGAAGGAAAGGGTGACTTTGATCTTTTGCTTATGATAGGCAATGATTATTTACCAATTTACAATTAATTTCTTCAATAGAATCTTATCCTACAAAGAAATTCCTTTTTTTAATTTTAGTAATGATTTTTTATGGGTGAAGTAAGAAAAGAAAAAGTAATGTGCTCCATTTTTAGTTTAGGTTTAAATTTTAAAAATAAATAAATAAAACTTTTAATTTAATAATTGAATTATATAATAATACATGTTAAAAATTTTCAATCATTAAATTATAAAATTTTTCATTTTTTCTCCTATCAATTACTCTAACCACACGTTAATGGTATAATGAAATTATATAGTGAAAATATTTTTAATTTATTTTTATACAATTTGTAATTAGAGATAGTAAACGGGTTTGAACCCGTTAGGTTTAATCTGATTTCATCTTATAGGATCAAATTTTTTTTAAAATCAAGTTTTGAATCAAATCGATTTTTTATATAAAAAATTTGAGTAAGGTTAAGTTTTAAGTAAATCTGACTCGATTTGATACATATATATAATATTTTTATTATTTATTTGATTATATATTATATTAATAAAATTATTATTTAATATTTTAATTTAAAATATTAACTTAATAAAACTATTATATTTAAATATAATTTATATTAAAAATATTTTATAAATATTATATTAATTTAAATTTAAATCAGATTAATTATGATTTTATAAACATATGAATTAAATCAAATATAAAAAATAATATTTTAATATTAAATCGAATTTATATTTTATAAAATCAAATCAAAATTAAAACAAATAAAAATTCATCCTATTCTGATATGTTACCATCAGTATTTATAACACTCCGTCATCTTTAGGTAATAATAAAACAATACCCTAATGCAATGAAAATTTCTTTCGTCATGTATTTAAATGAACATAAGATGTTGATATTTGTTGCTAGTAATAGTATCAACACTATTAATAAGTTTTTAGTATATTTTTAAAAAATAATATTTTATATAATTATTAAAAATTATTAAAAAATTAATAATTATTATATTTAATATAAAATTATATTAATGTACTTAAAAAATCTTAAAAAGGGTATTGGATAATAAAATTTTATTTAATTAGTTGGTTGTTTAGAGGGAAAAAGGACAATAAATTCTAACAGAAAAGAAAAAAAAAATGTAACTGCTAGGCTAGCTGGCTGCAGCAGGCAAATCAAAGATGGTGGTGAACTGGTACGTAGTGACATAACAAGGGAGGTAAGAGGGGGGGTGGGGAGGCCAGGCCAGGCAGAGCCAACCCATGAACAAAGTAACTTTTTGACCAGAACCAAATCAAGACTGATAAGGGAGGGATGGCATTCTCATGTCTTATCAACGATTCTCGATGGAATAACTCATCACTTAGAAACTGGATTTTTTTTTTTAATCTAATGAGAAGGGTTTTTTGGATTTTACTTAATATATAAATTTAAACTAAAAAAAAAAAAGCACTTAGCTGCCATCAGTTGGTCATCGTGTGTTTTGTTTTGTATTGGTTTGAATTTTTGCAGCAACAAGAACAGAAGGAAATCAATCCTCTCTTTTGCTTTGCAAGCAAAGTACAAGTTGCTTCATTCTCTTTTTCAAGTTTGTACTTGAGCGAGAGAGAGAAAAAGAGGTGGGTCTGTGTCTGGGTCTGCTTCCTCCCTGCAACTTGCTTCTGCTATAACCAAAATCGTTACGTACATACGACAGGTCCTACCAGCTACAGCTGGCTAGCTAGCTAGCTAGCTAGGTTAGTGCTTTTTGGAGATTTGCGAACGACAATGCTCAACTCACTTGCTTTTATTTTATTATTATAATAATACTTTTTTTAATGTCATAAATAATGTTTGAATTGATTTCTTTCAGTCAAGCTTATTGCGTCAGAGGTCTAAAAAATTCAGTTCAGTCCAGCTTCTTGGAAGTGATAACGATGATTCGAATACATGATACGTATATTATTTATATTAATATTTTAAATAATAAATTTAATATACATTAAAAATAAAATATATAATATAAATATACGAATTGAAATGATTAAATTTAACCCGCATATCCATTGCGAGACAAGTTTAGCACTATCTGAGCGCTTTGAGAGTTCTGATTCCTTCAGGAATTTATCCGGAAAAGCTATTGTTGGAGAGATCAACACAAAAGTTAAAATGGTTAGGATTTTTCATGCTATAATTTCAATCCCTTTGTTATTTAATGAACTGCTTTCATGCAGTTCATTGAACAGACACAAAGCCTGATACAAGCGTTTACAGACATAACACAACAGGACTACAGAACAGCTGTTTACAAACGGAAAGGCCCAGCGCCGTTTACAAACAGAACAGAACACCAGAAACACAAATAACGGGAAAACCATCAATGACGAGAACAGCAAATGAGAAAACAGGGTCAAGAAATGCGAAAGTTGCTGCAGTACCATGGCCTTGAAGATGTTAGCAGCAGTTAGAGAAGAACTCGGTATAAAATCTGCAGCATTTCTGTAAGTAATTTGATGCAAGTGATTAACCACTGAGGTCTTCTTGACATTTGAACCTGTTTGTTCTCCATCTTATCAAGCCAATGGATCGTCTAGAGGTTCGACCGTACAGTATATGCCTTGTTCAATTAGAAATCTTATACCACCAAAGCTGCAACATGGCGCTATATGCCCAAAGCAATTAGATATTATCTCAGGGGAAGGAATTGTAATGAAAGAAAGATATATGCATAGTATCCTATATAAAAGAAGGCTGTAAACTATTCAAGTGAATTTAACAGGTTTCCTTGTTCTGCTGCGAACTTTTCAGCGGCTTCACAAACTTCTAATGGAGAGTGCTCTCTGACCGGCTGAGCGGCATCCACTATCATCTGCCTGCCCTTGTTCCGGCTTGTTGGCTTGGTGTGCGTGGGTCAGAGTACCCAAGGCCACATGTCCCAGGTTTGAGGGCTGATGTGAGAAGAGAAAGGAAGAAAATGAAGCAAAGCATCCACTATCATCCAGACTCAGAATGATAGCAACTTGACCCCGAACTGTGAGGGCACTGGTTTGGTTGAGATGACAAGCCACTGATACAATTCATGAAGCAGCTGCAGTAGCATTGTTTCTCTGCTCATCAGATTCCCATGGCCGTAAGTTTTCAACGGTGGCCAAGATGGCGAGCCAACGGGAATTCTACAAGAATAATGAAGGATGACGTTTCTGCCTCTCTAAGATAGTGTACAGTACCATTCATAATATTTACAAGCTTCTGACTGATGTATAGGCCTAGACCTTCCCTTGAGACACCT